TACTCACTTGGATAATAACGTTGACTTGGGTTAAGTTTATATAAAGTTCAGTTCTTTTTGACTCTCATGGCTTTTCACTGAGCTCAAGCCTCACGGTAACGAGTTGGGTCCTGAAATTTCCAACTATACTCGAAGCACTTTTGGTCAAAACTACAGTTCTTAGATGGTGTTTGTGGAATCTATCACTTAGTATCGTAAACCCACATTGAGAGAAGCTATGTATCTCAAAAATTCGTGTACTTGTAGATATTACAACTCTTAGGATTATGAGCTATGTTCAGGACAGTGTTTGTAGGTAGTAATAGTATTAAACCAGTATCCTTTTTACTTTCCAATCTTACTCGGAGCACTTGTTGTTGTTAAATTGTGGATTTGGGTTTTTCTCTCAGGTGGTGATGATAGGATAGGTGAAGGGAATGATCTGCCTCTACGCTAAGTAACGTTACATCAGGTTTTGCTACAGAGAATATAGTATCAGAGCATGGAAGGGAAACTTGATAACCAAAGACGTATTGATGTTAAGAGGTTTAACAGGAAAGCTTGGCCTGATTCTTGTCAGGTTATGGTCTACATATTTGGTTAAAGCTCTTACCTTTATGCAATCCTGGTTCTTGAATCTTTGGTTTTATTTTTTGATAGGATGAAGCTAAAGCTGTTGGGCAGTTAAGGAACTATAAGATGGCAAATCTTCTTGGATGTTGCTATGAAAGTGAAGAGAGACTTCTTGTTGCTGAGTTTATGCGTAACGAAACTCTGGCTAAGCATCTTTTCCATTGTAAGATTTAGCTTTCTTCTCTCGTTTATGGCTCTCTACGTATGGTTACATCAAGCTCTTGAGACAGAAAGTGTTAATATGTTTCAGGGGAGTCACAACCTATGAAGTGGGCAATGCGACTAAGAGTAGATTTACATATTGCTGCTGCTCGTATTCGTGGTGGTGCTTGCCGTGGAACTGCTGATATGAGTGACTTAACTAGGTTTTAATTGTGTATATTTTGTGGCTAGTGGTAAATGTAAAACTAAAGGATAAAAATGATAATAAAATTGG